GGGTCCTCCTTCTTTCCTTTTTTGAAGATTGGAGAGATGTCGGCCTTTCTCCAGTCCTCAGGCACCTCTCCTGTTCCCCATGACCTTTCAAAGATGATGGAGAGTGGTGTAGCAATAACATCTGCCAGCTCTCTCAGCACTCGCGGGTGGATCCCATCAGGGCCCATGGACTTATGGATGTCCAGCTTGGCCAAGTGGTCTCTGACCTGGTCCTCCTCAACTGAGGGGAAATCTTCCTCCCTCCAGACCTTCCCCCTTGCCTCCAGGGTATGGGATTCATGAGGGACAGCTTTAGCAGTGAAGACCGAAGAAAAGAAGGCATTCAGTAACTCTGCCTTCTCTGTGTCTTCCACCACAAAGAAGGCAGAGTTACTGAATGCCTTCTTTTCTTCATTCATAATTTGTTTCCACTCCCTCAAAGAAATGACACTGCAGCTAGTTATAGGATGTAAAAATGAATTCCATAATATGACAGTCAATGCCACAGTCTTTGCAGGAGTCCTCTGCAGTTAAGATAATCTTTCAGGACTTCTGTATCTAAAACGTGCACAAAAGCCCTCTTACTTGACCTAAAAGATCACACTCTGTTGAATGCAGAATCAGTAAACTGCTTCATAAACCTTTAGTACTGTTCTTCTGCCAGTAGCTTGGGTCAGAAGAAGTTGCAGCGTGAATCGAATTACACTTGCAAAATCAAAGTCCTAAAGGTAAAGATCCTGTTAACACCAGACTAGTCAGTGTATTGATGGGCTGCTGTGAATTTAAGGGCTAAATTTGCAAGCTTAACTTTCTTTTATTGCAGAGGAGAAGCCAAAAGAGCTGCCACAAAGCATTCTTCAGAAAACATCAAGTGCAGAAACAGATTGCAACAGCGAATGCTCCAGAAATGCAGAGACAGAAGAAAATCATAGTATTACATCAGATATGCCAGCGGTGTCTGCATTTTTTAGCTTAGCTGCTCTGGCAGAAGTAGCAGCCATGGAAAATGTACACAGGTATGGCTTGCTTTTCCCCTTGTTGTCTAAGCGAATAGTATGCGGCTGCCAGCTTGTTCAGAAAGCATGTGAATTGCAGACTGTTTAATTTGGCCTGTGTTTCCTCTTCCACAGATTTCTTTGAATGCCTGGTTTACACAACTTGCTTAGTAGTGCTAAGTCTTCATGTAAATGACAATGTAATCTATTTCAGTAGTCTGTAAAATGATCCTCCCTGGTAAGGTTACCTACCCATTTTTGTATATTAACAGGTTCATATGCTCCTCGAGATCCTAATGATTGAGGGTTTCTAATTATCAGATGCCATTTGTCAGATAATAGCAGACTTAAATAGCTATCGCATGCTGATTTTTATTTTTCAGTGGCCTAAGACTGTCAAGAGAATTTCATAAAACTTCAGCTGAAGTTTTTATGCTGAACATAGCTGAAGGAAACTAACTTGTTATTTTGACTCTTGTGCTTTGCTATGCAGGAGGCAAAGCGTCTGCAGAATGGCATGGGCAAAAGAACTCTGGGTGATGGAAAGCCACATTAGTTTGGGTTGGTCCTCTCAGTTACTGAGTAGACCGTTCACACAGATAAGGTGGAGAATGTGCAGGTTACATAGAGCTGTTGGATCAGTTGCATGGTCAGATCCTGCATACTAGACCTGTGATAGGAGGACACCAAGGACAGCAAGTCCTCCTTGGCTCTTAATTATCCAGTGTTGTTCTTTGATGCTGCAGCGTAAGGGAGATGAAACCCTATCCTTTCCTGCAGTGGAAAGTCAGTGGGGAAGTGCTGGGCCAGTTTGAAACCATGACAGCCTCTGCAAATGGCATTTGACAAATTGTGGCTGCCGGAGAAACTCCACAAGGCCGCTGTTGATGAAACCATTCACAACCTCAGTTTAGTGTTGATCTTGTGGCCCCCATCAGCCAACCCAGTCCTACGTGTTCAGGCTGTGCATAAAACATTGAAAGGCCTTTTAGAAGCTCAGGGGCCCTACAAAAAACAAAGTCAGCCGAACCCAGCCTGCTAGCTCTTCTCTGCAGAAGCTGTTGTCTTGCTTAAGCAGTATTGTTTTCGGTGAGAAGTGTTTTCACAGTGCAGTCAGCCTGGCCTTTCCTCCCAGCACTGCAAAACAAGTGTCTGCTATCGAGGCAGCAAAAGTCTGAACTCGTTTCTGTCGTCTTCTGTGGTCAGAAGCCACAAAGCGAGACTTGGGGAAGTGCTGTGCTAAGCTCTGCTCTCACTCACACCCTTGTGGTTTCATTGATTTCCATTAACACTGACCAGAATTCCACAAGAGCAACAGGATTCGCTTTACTGTGGTTTTTCCCTCTTTGTTCCTCTAAGAGTTCTTGTCCTATTCTTGTTCCTGTTGTGAGCTAATGTTTGACATAGCCTTCTGTTTGGGTCTCTCTTTCTTACTCCCACCTTTTGTCATAGAATCATGCAGCTAGAGCAATGCAGCACCTTCCATGAAGCCTGAAAACACCAAACTGGCAAATGTCCAGCAGCTGTTGCAAATTCCAGCTTGTAATTACCACGAGGGTAAATGACAACAGGGGAGGACTCCTTCCCAGTAGAAACTTAGCCATGTCTCTGGCAGACTTGGCAAACAGAAGTCAAAACAGAAACCTAAATCTGATGGGCTAGATGCTTCTCTGTTCTCTGTTCTGTCAACTGTTTGTTATCTTTTGCAACTCACTTCTTTGTTTGCAAATAGCCAGAAATGAGAAGAACAGCATTAGAGGTTTGCTTGATGTGTTTCTTCAGTGTCTGAATTTAATTATGAAATAATTTCACAGAGCCGTGGGCCTCGGAAGCCAAACTCCTTTTTAACTGTAATTAGAGCTTGTCTGGAAGTGGCGGCGTGGTTTTCATTTGAAGGCTTCTGTTTAGCTTTATTAACCTTGTTCATGTCCCGCGTGAGCGCTGTGAGTCTGAGCTGCGTTTTGTGCCGAGGCCGCTTCGTCGCACTCCGGTTCTACAAAGCACGTTGGTACCTCCATTCCTTCTGGGGTCTTACCTGCGCTGGAGTGAGGTAGAGTGGCCCTTGTGTAAATAAGAAGCGGGCCCCAGATTTTCACTGCTGCAAACGACACATGCTGTAACAAAAATAGAACCTGACTTGTGAGATTAGATAACAGGCGGTGACGCGCTTTGTGTATGTATTTTAAAAGGCAAGCTGCAAAGGAGCTCTCCCAAGTCCATCTGCTACAGTGATTGATGTTGATTTCCAGCACATAATTCTGGAGCAGTTTATTTTTATGATCCCCTGTGCCAGGGGATCATTTGTAAATTAACACAGCTGTAGTAATGAAAGAGATGTTGTGCTGGGCTGATGAAGTGTTAAGTCATGAAACTTGGAGTAAGCCCAGAGCACGACTCTGCCGATGAGTGTATTTCCATATTGCTTAAAAGCTGGCTACGGACTTGCATTAACGTGATATATGCCTCTGTGCATTTACCTTCTTTTGCCACACGTGAGCTCTGAGGGCTGAAGCCACTCCCTCACAAAACGAATAACAGCACTTGTGCGCTCTTAACTTACTCTTCAGCCGTGCATTTTGTTTTCTGTAGTCAGATACCATCACGTCTTGGTTTTGCCTGACTTTGTATTGTGTTGCAGGTTGTCCTCAGGATATTGTGTTACTGTTGCAGGAATACCTCTGAAAAGAGCGTGTAGCAGCAGTGTGTGGGCATCTGAAGCAGCAGGGAGTTACGGTGCTGTAATGTCAGATGTCAAACCATATCACGTGCTGCTTTCCGCCCTTTGTGGTCTGATAAAAGCACCTCCCGTGCTCCAAATAATGATGGGTGGCTTTTCTTTTCTTCTTTTGCAGAAGTCAGAGGGCCACACCTCTCCCACATGATGGACAGCCAAATGAAATGTCTCAGGCTCCAGTGCTTATTTCCTGCGCTGACCAGTGAAGCTCCACTTTATTGTAAAACATTGTGCTTTACCTAATATCCTAGCCTTGTCTTTACCAAGGGAAGCTAGTCAGTCCATATGATGGAAACTATAGACTGCAAGCAAGTGTTTATTGCTCTGAGTGGCCCAGAATTCACTGGAAGCCAGACGTTAGCAATTTGGGCCAGGTCCTCAAATCGGAACCCAGTATGTAGGAAGGTGATATTAATTGTCTATTAATGAACAGAAATGGAATGATCCCAGAGCTTGCTTTCTATTGAAGGCTTTTAAACAGTAAATAGGTGGTTGGTGTGAAAAAGGCTGCCTTTACTGTTAGCTCACACAGCATCTCTTTTACCAACCAGAGAGTACGGCAACTAGTTTCGTATAATACCTAGTTATTCTAAATTAAAATGAAAAAAAAAAAACAACAACAAAAACACTGACGCACTGCACTAGTTATTATTAGATATTCTTAGTCATTTTTGTACATGAAGATTTAAGTTCTAAGATGGTTTATATTAATAGGTTATGCCTACGTTTATATTGTAGAATGAATTTAAAACCTGTTCCAGAGAACTCAAGGCAGCCTGGACAGATGTACCATTGTTAGCGGTGTTTGGGCAGCCATGTGGTCCAGATGTTCTGCACTTTTATATTTGCCACCAGAGTGGTAGAGTTTACTGGCAAAAATTCTGACAAGCTATGTTTGGGTTTGTTTCTTTTTAATTTAGCTTTGAATAACCAGGATGATGTGCATTAGAAAAAGGAGTGGTGTATGGAAAAGAAAATACTGATGATAATTGACGTCTTTCATGCCTTGGAGGGTTCCTTTATTTTTGCATAGATATCTGAGCAACTTGCTGAAACTTTCCTGTAACAAAAAGTACTGCAAATGCGTTTTTCAAAAGTGACCTTAGTATTATTTCACCGTTCTAAAAAATCGAAAACCGTGACTTTTCGATATACATGTACACCGATACACATACCTTTTACATTTTGCAGACACTGGCATTGTTGTAGTTACTATGCACAGTCCAAATCGGCTTCAGAATTTGCGTAAAGGGCCAATTACAGTTTGTGTTGGTAAAGTGGCAAGTTGTATACAGATAAACTACAACTGAAGAGTAACGTTTGACTGAATTCAGACTACCAAACAGATCCATCTGCCAGTTTCTGTCTTTGCTTATGTTGAATTTTTGTGTTTTGCTCTCATAAATACATCCCAAAAGCAGGCCAAGTGTATCACTTGGCCTGCTGTCTTCGCTATTGTGACTTACACTATTGTATAACCAAGCATTGATTCCTACCAACAGATGCAAAGCGATCGCTAGTAATTGATCTAAAGCTACAAATTCAACAGGGTACTTCTTCTATAGCACAAGATGTTTCCCTACTTTTTGCATTGTAGCACAACAATTTACCAAATTGGACTCCAGCAATAATTTTCTATTAGTCTTCGTCATACCGGCTGAACTTTTGATAGTATTAGATTGAGTTTGAAGTTCTTTGAATTAAGTCTTTAAATGATGCGAGTTTACATCATTCTATCAGGCATTCTTATTTATACTTGACTGAATTGATAATGTGTTTTGGGGTTATTTTGTAACTAATTTGATGTAATAGCCATATGGACAGTAACTCTATGAATGCTTGCTAGGTTTAGCCTTTCATTGTTGTAGTTAAGTGAAAGTCTTTGGTTCAGTGTCGGGAAACAATACACAACACACCACACGAGTTGTAATGAAGGATTAAGGGTCTGACAAAAGGCAGGTAGATGGGGAAGTGTCATTGAAACAGCACCATGGAGGATGCATGTGTTGGAAGAAGGGAACAACAGCAAAAGAACAACAACATTTACAAGCCAATGAGTCAGTGAAAAGGCTTTTTAAAAATTCAGGTGAATATATGACTAAGAGCCCCTAGAATGCCATTGCAGCCTATGGCAGTATTTTTAATAAGATTTTATTAAAGTTTTATAAGTTATTTTAACAAGACAGGAAAAAAATAAAAAGGCTTAAAACTGCTGGGTCACAGCAAGGTGGCTGTTGGAGTTTTGGACCACTTTATAATTAGCTGAAATCCAAATATGTTACAGTGCAGGCCGTTCACGTTGACAATGGTACTAACTTATTTCTCTAGAAACCTTTAGAGTAGATATATTTTTGTCAAAGCACCCCATCCTTCCTCGATTTAAATTTCAATATTGTTCCTGAAGATATTTCTGTATATTAATGGTACCTTTTTTAAAAGAAACAGAAAATTACTTTTTTCTATATGAATTAATATCTTACTTGATCTGCTTTTCCTTGACTTTCCCTTAGAGAGGGGGTAGGGTTGGGTCAGTTTACTGGATATGACTGTTTTCAGATACTTATAAACCTTTTTGTAGATATGCTTAATTTTTAAGCGATTAGGCACTGAGAGTAGCAGAAATCCTGCAAAGCTTTATAGTTAACTAGGCATTTGCCTTTGTTGGTTCTCTGAGTGATGTCTTGATTTCAGTAGCTAGAATTTTCCCTGAATCTACTAGAAGGGGTATCAGTATTTTCAGGTAACAAAGTCTGTTAGCACAACAAAAATTTCAGACCAATATCTTACTGTATTGGGGTTGGGTTTTTTCCTTGTTTGTTTTGTTTTAATTTTTATTAATTTCAGCTGCTTTCATTTTGGAAGATCTTATTGCTATTGTGTGTACTTCAGTATACCAGCAAACACTGTTACCCGTTAACACATTGTCCACAAATGCCTCTAGAGAAGAAATTGTTGCACCTTATGTATATCTCAAGCAAACCAAAATATGATGCTTTTCTGCTTTGTTTATTCTGAATATGTTGTATCATACTTTACTGAACCCATTTTAACTTAGCTAAAGCTATCGATATTTATGCATTTCACATTATTTTCTGGATCTGAACCTGTGTATAAATCTTTCTTTAAAAAAAAAAAAAGAAAAGCATTTACCATAGTCGTCCTCTGTGAGTTATCCATGGGAGGGGGGAATCTTGTCTCAAGTGTAAAATGCAGTACTGTCCCAGTTTTCCTTGGCTTTTATTTATTTAGTGATCTTTGATATTTCATATGTAGTTTTGAGGTATACTAAATACATTGTTGTAGCCGAAGCTACAGATCTAAGCAGCTGGGAGAAAATTACTGTAATGTCTTCTTACTTGTTCTAGTACTGTATACAAATATGGGAAAAACGTTCTGCAGAACATTTGAGATGCAGATTCTTATCCCCGCAGTAGGTTATTTTCCAGATACTAGACCAAATCAATCAAAACTCGATGATCTTAAAGGATTCTGTGATTCTAAAAACATCTGTGGAGATTACTTAATGCTCTGCTTATGGCAGTAACTACCCCTTGAATGTGCTGTGATTTCAGAAATAGAATATATTTATTTAAGATGACTGAATGCTCTTTTATACTAATACAATATCCCAAAGTCATGAGCAAGAGACTTCTTGGTAGTTTGGGTGTCTATTTTGTAGCATTGGTGCATGACTTTTGAAATTAAAGTGATAAGCTTTGTTGGAAAGAAGCACAGGAACAAGGGACTGGTAGACGCGTGTGAACTTGCGGTGTTAAAATTCCAGCTTTGGTCTTTATTATTTGGGTGAAAGCTGCCTTTGTAGCACAAGGCTGAAAAGCATTCTGCAGTTTGTATCAAGTAGAAACCCAAGAGAGTTGTAACTCACATCAGAACGAGGGAATGCCTTACAGTTTGGATGCTATCTTTTGGAACAGGATATTAAATTGAAGCGGTTTTAATTTCCACTGCCTGTTTAGCTACTGTACGGATACTGAACAGACTGAAGGCAACAGTTGTAGACGTGGGACATCTAAGAGAGGATGAAAGGAAAGCTGGCCTTTGTTCTCAGTATAACAAAGTTATGGCAACAAAGGGGAATTATGAAAAAAGATAGATGTATATATATATGTGTGTGTGTGCATGTGTGCGTGTGCGCCTGGGTGTGTACATTCTGCAAAAAAAAATGTAGGAAAAAACAGAAACATGATGGGTCTGCAAGAGACTATAATGTATGCTGACCCTTTGAGTGCACTCCCTTTTTTTGAATGCTGAGTCTAATATGGCTACCTCTCCTAAAAGACTACTTTCGTTAACTTCCATTTGCATTCAAGCTTGATCGTGTAATCTTTTCAGCCATTGATACCATTTGTATATCACTGTGTGCTTTATTTTGCAAGAGCAACATTTATGGAGCGCAGACGACATAAAGGCTGAATATACAGTGGTAGCCAAACTATGTTGCTGGAGCATTTTTGTTTAACCTCTGCCATAGTCATATGGGTTGCAGGACCTGGGCCTGCTAGCTCTAGTTGGTTCGGTGCAATCGGTTTTTGTAACAGCAGAAAATGCAGTGCTTGTGGGGTGGTGGACTTCAGATATTGCCAGAGGCGACGCAGTAAGCCAAATGCTGCTCTTGAAACTTATTCTGGAGTTTACGTTTGCAATCCTGATTTCGCAAGGAAACGTAACTGTGCAACTTGTGTGTTCTATACCATATGTTATCCATTAGATGCCGTTTGTTTGCCGTGCTTGTTTGGTAGATTGTAGAGCTCCTAGGTATCTTTGCCATGTTTTGTAATACTTGTGGCATTCTCCTTACCTTGCACATACTGTGGAACTTTCACCTACAGCTGCCAGGATGCTGAGGCACTTCAGGACACTGAGCGCCGTGAAGGAGTGCATTTAGTCTGTGAAAGAGTTACTTGCCTCCTCCCCTGAACTCCCCAATAAAAAGGCACAGTGAGGTTTATGCTCTCACCTAAGTACTATTATAGTCATTTATGTACTCAGTATTTTCTACTGAATTGACAACTTTGAAGAAGCTTATGAGATGGATGTATATTTTATGTTTCCCCACTAATTTTCCCAAGGCAGAAATCTAGAAGGACTTGACATGAGATCTCCACTCAGCAACACACCTAAGCTTACGCTGAAAACCATCCTTACTTACGGGGCAGCATTGTTGTTTGCACTGTGAAAGTGCAGAAGCCCCGATTATGGACCACTACACTTTTGGAGTTAAGCTTGGGCTTGTGTGGTGTTCCTGGGGGAGGCACATCGTTGTGACCTAGGGCCGTCATTGACATGGAATTTTAAAAACGACTGCAAATAGCTTAACATTTATTGAGTTCTTCCAAATAATTGTATTGTAGTTTCTGGATCTTAACTGTTACCATATACCAGCAGACCCACACTGTGCTCTACTGGAAAAAAACCACACTTGTACAGGCTAACTAACTAGGCTTCCAAACGTAATGGTCTAATCTACTCTTTTCACCCCTGCAACTGAAACCTTATTTGCTCCCACACACTGCCGCACTTTAATCATTGGTTGGGGCTTTGAAGGTGACAAAAAAGCAAGAGAGGCATATATGTGCACGTGTCTGCGTGCATGTAT